CAGCGACCTGAGCCAGCGCCGCGCCCTGCTCATCCTGCCGCCGCCGGGCCGCCGCCTGCCTGAAGCCGCCCTGGAGCACGACCTGCCCGCGGAGGTGGAGGCCGGCCTGGCCTTCCAGCTGCTGGGTACGAAGCCTTGGCGTGACGGGGCTGACTTTCCTCTTCTGGAGCGGTGACGTCCTGAGGAGCTAGCTCTCTTCAGGCGGGGGGCGGGGCGGGCCAGGGCAGACCGCTGGAGGCTGAAGCGGGAAGAGAGGGTTCGGCGGTGGGTGCCGGCCTTAAAGTCCATTTCTCCGAGGCCACCCTCAAAGATGCCAAATCGGCTCCCAGCGGGTTCCCGGCCCTGGGGCTGCCAGTACAGGGCTGGGTGTTCTGGCCAGCAGGAGAGAGAGAGAGAGAGAGAGAGAAGAAACCACCCCACCTCTCCGTCTCCCCTTCCTTTGGACAGACCCGTCTGGTACCCTCTGGAGCAGCAGAGAGCCCAGGGCCCACCCCCTCTGGCGGGGGGCTGATCTCCCAGACTCAGAGGCTGAGGCCCACGTCTCCTGTGAGATCAACCCATACCCCCCCCAGGAGGCCCACGTGCCCTGGGCTGTGGGGCTGGTGAGCCAGAAGGACTGCCCCCGCTCCCTGGAAGGCCGGTGGGTCATCACCACCATCCAGAATCCGGAGGTGGACTTTGGGGTCAGCAGCATCCTCCACGGGGAGGCACCGTTGTCTGGAAAACAAGAGACTAGCAGCGTCAGTACAGCAACAGGTACAGGACCTTTCTCCGTGAATTCAAGGGAGGGGGCTACTGATGGGGGGGCTCTCTTTGACTGCTCCTTCTTTCTTAGCAATAATATTGCAAACAAGAACAATCCTGAATTAATTGTATAGGCTTACTCCTAAGTAGTAACCCAAACATAATGCTCTCCAGATGGGCAGGGTGATAAGATCCATCTCCCCCAGCTGGGAAGGATGGGAATTGAAGTCTCACATATCCCATGGGTTGTGATTGGTGAGAAAGATTTCAACAAGAGGAGGCAGCTTGAACAAAGCCTTTTGCAAGGCTATATTTAGTGGAATAAGGTGTACATTTTTCCTTCAAATAATTTATCCTTAAAAGTCATTTTCTGTTACTGAGAATACAGTAAAGGAAACAGTCAGATTTTTTACTATTTTATTTCTTTTGTTCCTTCCTCTTTGTTTAGCTGGAGCAGGACTTGTTTAGGAATACAAATTAAACATAGGGCATAAGGCAACAAAATAAATCCAGACTTAAAACTAGCAAAAAAACATTAATGAAGAATTTTAAAGCCTTAGAAGAAATTAAACACTGATTTTTGAAGTTAGAATTGTCCCCCCCAAAGGTTAATGGGGAGGCAGCTAGCCCCACGTCTGGGTGCCATCTTCCCCAGGGAACCTGGGCCTCCCCGCGAAACCTGGCTGCGGGGGGAGCCGGGGTACGTGGAAGGGGCATGCGGGCCTGGCTGACCAGGCCTCTCCTCTTCTGCAGCCGTCCTCTCCGTCTTCACCCGGACACCCCACCTGCAGTCCCGCCTAGGGCAGGACGTGCTGCTCGACTGCAGCTTTTCGGCTCCAGCTGTGGCCTTCTCAGTCGAGTGGCGCCACCAGTACAGCGGGGCAGGCCGGGTGATCCTGGCCTACGACGGAGCTGCCCAACGCATGTCGGTGTCTGAGGAGGGGGCCCGGCTCTTTCTGGATCCCGTGAGTAGCAACATCTCGCTGCAGCTGCAGGCGGTCCAGGTGCACCACGAGGGGATCTACATCTGCTCCATCTACCTGCCCCACCTTCATGCCCAGCAGGCTGTGGAGCTGAAGATCGTGGGTGAGTGGTTCCAGCCCCCCCGTGCTTCACGCCATTCGGCTGCTGGGTGCCCCCAGGGCCCCCAGCCCAGGCAGGGTCTCCCCCAGCTTCTCCCTGGCTTGCAGAGCCTGCTCCGGGGCAGCCAGGAGGAGATCCTGTGGGGCCAGATGAATAATTCTTTCAGTCCCTGGTGGGGGGAGGGGGCTATTCGCACTGGAAGGCTTCTGCTCCCTTCCCCAAGTTCAGGCGTCGGATAAGCGCTGGGCAGTTTGATCCATGCCTGGACTGGATTGCTGGGAGCCAAGGTCTGGAACCACTGGGGCCCAGCAAAGCTTTGTTAACGGGCAGAAGAAAGGATTCGCCTTTGCTAACGGAGGTGTATTTTAAGGTCCCGGGATTCTGCGGAAAGCAAACGCTCACCCAGGCCAGAGGAAGCTCAAGGAATGCTGGCTTGGTTCTTTGGTGGCAGCAGACTGAGATGCCAGCTGGGTGTAATGAATAGGGTGGTGGTGAAGGGTTGGGTTAGAGCCGGGAGACCCAGGAGATTCACCCCCAACCTTGGAGGCTCATCGGGGGCCTTGGGCCTGTCACTCTCTCACGCCAGCCTACCTCACAGGGTTGTTGTGAGAGAAACCAGAAGGATGGAGTGCTGCGCACACCACCTGAGTTCCTGAATGAAAGACAGGGTCTAAATCTTGCCAAGAAAGAAATTATTTTATTTTACGCAACGCTCAGAAATCTTCTAGCCACTGTTTCTGCATTATCTGGTACTGGTAGATGATGGGCCTCTGTTTTTCTTAGTCTTCCTGGGAGGAAAAGGGGGGTTGAGTTTAGGGGAAAAACCTTACATCCTCCCTGTGACCTGTTCCCTCTTTCTTCCCCCAGAGCCACCCAAGGCCACCCTCCGCCCAGTCCCGTTCTCAGTGCCCCCTGGCACCCACGCAGAGCTGGTCTGTGAGATCACTGGTTATTACCCCCAGAGCGTCTCCGTGGTCTGGAAGCGGCGCAGCCCTGGCATGGCCCACGAGGTCCTCCTGGACACTTGGGAATCAGGGCACCGGCAGTCCCCTGATGGCACCTACAGCTTCACCAGCTTTGCCCGCCTGCCAGCTGTCCAGCCAGGAGACCAGGGGTCCTCATACAGCTGCCACATGACTCATGTGGGGCTGGGGGAGGCAGGGCTCCAGAAGGCTGTGAAGCTGCACGTGGCAGGTAGGTGCAGAGGAGCGGTGGGACCACTGGTGGGGGAACAGCAGGGAGGCTGCGGAGGAAGGGTATCCCCCCGTGTAAGGAGAACGCAAGGGCAAACTGCTTCCAAACCTGCTGCAAGAAAATTGCAGGGTGTTCGTGCATCCACCCAGAGTCAGGGCTGACTCGGGACCAGAAGAACAGGCCCTGGGGGACCCCCAGTTTTGAGGGACTGGAATAACAGTTCTTTGGACCCACAAGTGTGAAATGGCTTCTCTTGGCGGCATTGTGGTCCTGCTGGCACCAGAGGCAGGTGGTGAATCCTGGGTACAGCCCCAGACGATGGGGTCCCAGTGCCAGTCTGCCCTGCAGGGTGCACTGAAAGCGGTGTTTGTGCAGACCCTCGGTTTTGTGGTAAAATCCTGCAGGAATTCCAGGCGGGGTCAGGGTGCGATCAACCCTGGGTGCAGGCAAGAGCCTCTGGGCCCATGGCAGAGTCCAGCCAGCTCATTGGTATGACTAAAGAGGTGCTGCTCTTAAGAGAACACCTGGGCCAGCTGGATTGGGACCCTGGCTCCCAGAGTTCCCAACCAGCACACAAGGACCTTGGGCTCCCCCCCCTCTTCCCCAGGAACTCAGCCCTCGCGGGGCTTGGTTCCGATTGATGTCCCCGGGGCCGCCTTGCGTGGGACGCGTTGATGGAAGAGGTTTCCAGGAGAGCACCCCAAAGGGCTGGGAAGGGTCCCACCTGGCTTCAGGGGGGCTGATGCCCCTTTCCCGGACTCCCCACCTCCCTTCCTTTCCAGGATCCTCAGGCCCCTCTGTGGAGGACGTCATTGGCCTCTTCCTGATAGCTTTTGCACTCCTGGGCTTCCTACAGGCGATTTCCAGGCGAGGTAAGCGCTCGCTTGTTGCTCATGATCCCCCCCTTCAAAGGGTACCCCGTCATATTTGACCAGGTTGCTTGCTTTCTTGCAGTGCTTGGAGAGAAGGAGAGGTCGGAGGTGAGCTCCCGACGTCCTGTGCCTGGCCGTTCGCGGCCTCTTGGTCATCCTGCCGGGCTGGGGCAGAGGAGTAGCGGGCGGCACCTTCAGCCACACCTGAACCTCCTCCCACCTCAGTCTCTTTTTCCCACAGAAAGTGGAGTGAGCCGGTCAGTGGACAGCGTCCTCCTGGGTCGTGCAGCCCCCTTTGGATCCTCAAGAAAGGGGCGCAGAGGAAACCTGAAGGAGGCATCAGGAGTCCTTTGGGGGATCTTCATTGGCAATTTGGGGAGGGGGGTGCTAAAATCACTTGGGATGCTTGTGTGCCCTTCCCAGATAAAGCAAGCAGGAAACCCACTCCCCTTCCCGCCTCACCCCTTTGGCGAGATGGGGAGGTCTGCCCGCCTGCCCCCAGGGCCCTTTGGATGGGTAGGGAGGGGCCTGCCCTCACTTTTTCCCCGTGGGCTGCTTTCACAGCAGGCCCATGTTTTCCCCTTTGGCAGTTGTGCAAGCTCTCCCAAAATATTGGCCCTTGTTGCTCTTAAAGTAATGGAACCAGCCTGGTCTGCTCTGGGCACACAGACATGAGGCGTTTGAAGAGCCAGCAGAGGGCCTGGCACCAGATTTTCTGTCTTGTAATCTGGCCATGGATATTTAAGCAACTTTGGTTTTCAAGTCCTGAATTGGGCTCCCTTTGTTGTGGCATGGGTGGGGGGGTGGCTTTCCTGCCTGCCCCCGCCCCCCCAGCTGCGGGACAGAAAAGAGGCCGTCGGCCAGGAGGTGGCACGGCTGAAGCACCCGGCTCCCTGGCCTGGGGGCACTGCGCTTTGCTTGTTGGAGCCAGGAAGTGGCTCTGGAAACAGGCAAGGACCCAAGCCTGGTCCTGTCCTGCCACGAGTGGAAACTCTGCCCAGGGGAACACCGGGCCTGCAAAAGCCCCTGTGCAGCCAGGTGGACGGAGCGTATCGCCCCTCACGAGATCAAGGCCATCTATGGGGTCTGCTGCGGACTCTCCCTCTGGCACCGCCACAGAGAAGCCTGCCTCCCGAGGCAGCAGCTACCGTCCCCTGGCTGTCTGGCACTGCTCCCCCCCAGGCCTGTTGGGGTTTCCCTGCTGCAGATCGTAAGCTGCACGTCGATTGCCAACTGCCTGCCTTGCTCTGTGCAGCAGCCCATAAAGATTTCCGTTGAAATGTACGGTTTGAAGGGAGGTCTTTGGGGTGCGGGAGGAGAAATTATGTGTGGCTTGCAGAACGAGGGAGATCCGGATGACTCTACTGCTGACCCACTCCCAGACTGAAGGTGGTGGTTCAGTCCTGGCAGCCCACCTGTTGGCAAGTGCATCTGGAGCTTTTCCCAGCTTGGTGATGAACAGGGCCACCTGCCAGTGCCAGGGGGGATCAAACCCTGCCCACGCGGGAGCAGAGGAGCAAAGCTTTTCTTCTCCAGGACGCCATTGGGGCGACAGACCCAGCAGGTTTTCTGCAGGCAGCTGAGTGCTTGCCCTGTGGCACAGCAGCCAGGTCGTGGCCTCTCAGACATGGCATGGTCCCCCCACGACCACTCCCTGCTTGCTGATCCAGGGACGTTCCTTGAGACTCAGACCTGCCCACTCTGCTGTGGGTGCCCCCATCTTTCCCAACATCTTTGGGAAGCCACGGCTGGTCTGGCGTCTGGTCTTCTCATGGGCCAAGTAGGACGTGGGTGGTCTGAACAATCGGGAGTTAGATGGTCCAAACAGGCTCACGCTGAATCCTGCAAGATGGGGTGGCTCCTTGGAAGCCCCAACTTGGCCTCTGGATGGGGTCGTGTCCCCCCGATGAGCCAGTCAGCCCTCTGGGAGCTTCTCTGCACTCGTAGCTGGAACAGCAGGTGGGAGCCGTGGTGGGGAGTGCCAGATGTGACCGCTCTGGAGCCAGATGGGCTGGCTGTAGTTGCACCCTCGTTGCCTCGGATGTGGACTTCTGCCAGACGCACACGGGTGCCTTGGAAGACGAGTCTGAGCCCCACTTGGTGCCAAACACGGCAGCCCAGTGGCAAACCGCTGCTTCAGTCACCACTGGTTCTCTGTAGGTTCCTGGGTACAATTCAGAGAGCTTTTGGTCCGCAACTCTGAGAGAATCCCCCCCGCTACGTGATCACGTTGAGGGGGACGAAGCCGATGGAACCCCATCGCACCTGACCTTCTGAGTCTTTGTCACTGGAGGTGCCATTTTTATTAGCGCAGCTTACCTATGTTTTATTCTTTCAGTTCTCAAATTTTAGGAGTTTACGTAAGATGGAGCAGTGCTGTTGTTGAATAGTACGATGAAAAATAACCATTTGGGACATTTGATCTAAAAGATGGGGGGGGGTGGAACCAGAAGGGAGGGGATCCACAGAGGGGAAATACATTTATTTCAGGTTTTCACTGTTTACTTCCCATATCCTAATCATTTTGTTTGTGATTTCATTCATTAAACCCTGAATATTAGGGGTTGCAAGCACCCAGCCAGTGAAAGGATTATTGCTAATAATAATACATTCCCTGTGTAAAAGGGACAATTACAATCAGTTTCTCATGAGAACAGGAGTCTGGTAGTGCCTGTTCCATCTAACAAACTTCAGTCAAAAATGTCCTTACAGTTTTTTAATTGTAAGCCGCCCAGAGGGGAGATGGGTAGCATATAAATTTAATAAATAATAATATAAATAGTATGTCAGATGGCAAAATTGTTATCTTTGGTTCAAGACTGGCAAGGGGTGGGGATCACCTCGAGGTGCCGACTCCTTGCAGGCCTGGGAAAAGCGATCATTTCCAGTCACCAACTCCCC